AAAGTGAAGGAATTAAGCTACAAACAAATCCCCTAGTGAAGGTTTGATGGAGAAATCATGGAATGGAGAAAGTGACTTGGAAGCTAAAGTGCCTATTGGGGGAAAATCAAAGTTTGATTGCTAATTGGATGAATAGAAATTGTGAGATATGTAGGGGTGTGCAAAGTCGAAAAATTTCGATTTCGAAATCAATTTCGAATTGAATTCGGAAGTTCGAATTCGGAAGTTCGGTAATTCGGAAGTGAATTCGGTAATTTCGATTTCGAATATGTCGAAATCGGATCGAATTTGAAAATAAGAATTTTGAAATCGGAATTACCGAATTCGAATTGGGAATTCGAAATAGGAATTCGAAATTGGAAATTCGATATCGAATTCGAATTAATATAATTAATATATTATATTCGAATTATATATATACATATATATTATATAACATAAAATAAGTTAATAACTGAAATTAAAATTGAAACCCAAAAACCCTACTCTTTTCAGTTTTCACTTACTCACGCCAGTCACCTTAGCTCTTCCGCCGCCCTCTTCCTCATCGCCTCTTCCTCCGACTCAGCTTACTCTCTCACTCTCTCGGTTTCACCTTCATATTTCTCCCCTTCTTCAAGCCCGACAGAGACATAAAGTGTTGGCACACGTTCTTCTCTACGAGACTCCCTCGGCATCTGGATTCTGGAAGATACCTCTGCACCGACTGCCGAGAGCGTTCTTCATCGTGGTGAAGTGGTTGAAATCTTGGCCAAACTCTTTCCAAAGTATCCAATTCCAACAAAGTAAGTTCACTTGCTCAATCATTCTGATTCTAGTCCAATTCACTGTAACATTATTCATTATTTTTAGGTAAAACTAAAACCCAAAAAAGCGAAAGTGGTAAATCAAATTTATGCTGTAGAAAATTGATGAGCCCACAAATTAATTTGGTGGCCGTTTGACTAATGTTAAGTGAAATGGTTTACACCTAAGATTTTTTTTCACTAGTTCGAATTATTCTTTTGAATATGCAGAAATTTAGCTCTTAAAAAAACTTAAATAAGTTCTTGAAAGTAGGTTGTGACGCCCCGAAAAAAAAATGAGTTTGAGAACCCGGAAATTTTCTAATTTTCTAGGGTTTATTTTTTAAACGCCCACCTTTTCTACATTTTCTTGATTAGAAAAATTCCCAAGATAAAGTTTATGAGCAAAAATCATTTTCAAATGATTTTTCTAGTATCGGTTAGTTTTTTAGAAATTAAAAGCTTATTTTGGACGTGGGACCCGCAAGTGCGGTAAATGCATTATATTTTTGACAACTTGTTGGAATTTTGTATTAAGTGATATTATTTTACAAAGTGTTAAGATATTTGTATTGGAGAGACAAAAAGATAAGTTTTGAACCAAAAGGGTGACAAGTGTCATCTTCCTATTCAACCTTGACTTTGACCATTATTTCTAACCTTTACTAATACTCAATTTTGACCCAAAAAGCACCCAAATTTCTGCAAGCTTGGCCGACCCTCTCTAGCTAAGAAGAAAGAAAAACTCTCCAAGATTCTTGCTTCCATCTTGCTTGAGTGTAATCATCCAACCATTTGATCTTGTTTCTACTCCATAAAATCTCTCCATTTGGTACTAGAAAGTGATTTGGTGAAGTGTTTAAGGAAGCTAAGGTGTCCAACAACTTTCCCTCTCTTGTTTACTAGGTGAGTGGTGATTGAACTTCCTCCTACACTTAATGAAGCTTAAGTTGTGCTTAGGGGGTAGCTAAAGTGCTGAAATTTGTGGTTTATTTCTTGGTTTGAGATGAATTGGTGAAGTTTTTAATTTATTGATGATTTTGCTGGTTTAATTTGATCATGATGTTGTGGTTATCTATGATGGTTGGTAATGAAGGGTAATGACTCTAGTAGGTGTACATGATTGGTAATTGCAAGCAATTTTGGGTTTGAATGAGAAATATAATGAAGCCGTGATGGCTGGAAAAGTTAGCAAATTTAGGGGAAGTGCTGTCCGAACTTTGAAGGGACTTGTTGCATTGGGTTTGTGATCTAAGACTTGGATTTGAGCAAGTCAATGCAATATGATGGATGGTTTCAGAGCCGTGGAGGTGAGTGACCTCAAACTATTTCTAAAATTATTTATGAACCATTTTTTGCATTATTTACTTTTGAACTGTTTTCAAAATTACTTTTGGAACTGTTTTCTTACATATCATGCGTGCTTGCATATCAGTGTCTTGTTATTATTGATTTTGCTTTCAATGATTGTTAAAACGAGTTTTCTAGGCGAGTGTGTACTTTATCGCACTCGACCTAAATAAATATGAAATTTTCAATGATTAATGATTAAATGCTACTTGCGCATGAATGTAAGCGTTTTGGGTTGAACTGGCCATTGCCCCTTGTTACCGGTCGTCTCGAGCCAGAAGCGGACTCGGTCGGGCGACTAGGAACTTGGGTGAACGTTTCGGTATACTCGAGTATTACCTTGTAGGTTGGTGGAGCCTGGCCAAAAGCCAGGGACGGGGTGAATGAATGCACGAATGAAACCAAATGCAATGAAATGACAGGAGAACGAACGTATCCTTTTCATGAATGTTTCTTGAATTATTGATACTCCATATTTAATGTTTTGTAAACGTTGTAATTGTTTCTAGACTTATCATTTGATTTACGACATCATTGAAATGAACTATTGTTAAACAGATTTGATTACTGATTTTATTGGTTACTCGCTGAGCTTCTAGCTCACCCCAAAATATGTAATCATTCATATTGGGATTGTATTGAACGTTTAGAATTGATTGGATGTGTAATAGTCTAGTTTTGGACTTCCTCCTGTATACTAATTGTGATCAAGGATCAGAGTGGCGCTGCGGAAGCGTGGACGCTTCGCTTTTGATATGTAAAGTTTGGGAACCTTTGATGTATATTGGAGATTTATATTGTAATATTTGAGGTTTATTCTTGTAATTCAATTGAGGTTTGTAGTGAACGACTGAGTCCCGGCGAGAGCTGGGCAGGCGGCCCGCCGAACCCTCTGGTTCGCCTTAGGGGGAGGTGGGGTCGTCACATAGGTAATCTGGACACGATACCTGAAAAGTGTGCCCAGATATGATTTGGGAGTGTTGGGAGGTTAACTAAGGTAGCGGAGGTCCGAGGAGAATTGAGACTTGGAAGGTATAAGTGTCCTGTAGTGTAGTGTTGCCGTGTTGGTAAAAGTTGTATTATACAAGAAGTATGGTCCAGATATGATTGAAGCTTCATTTCGACACCTTGCTGTTTCTTTAAGTTGTCAGCTGTGAAAATCTTATCAACATACTTTTTGCACCAAGAAGCAATTTGTCACACGGTGTGGTGTTGATTAATTTGCCAAGTTTTTTATGCTTGTTGTAATATAAATGCAAAGGCAAAAGTACAAACATGACTGGGTGCAAAGGATTCCTCTTTTTTTTTTCTTTTTTTTTTGGGGTTTTGTTTATCCTGTTGACCATGGCACATCTTGTATCTGGTAGTTATGGTACCATACACTTATAAGAGGTGCTTGGCAAAAAGAAACGGGAGAGAGTGTGTTAGTTAAAAAATGTAAAAACATCCTCTATGACTATAAATCCTTTATATAAAATAACTTTTTTTCTTGAAAAGCATTTAACTGCATTGATTTCACTATTTTGATGAGGTTCAGCTGAAGATATTTTAGTTGTATACTGAATTTATAAATCGCAAAACTTTATATTTGCTGCTATGTTTGGCTCCATCTTCTTACTTTCTATGCTAAATTGGAAACAAGTTCTCCAGGAAACTGCATTATGTGATTCAAACTCTCAATATTTCTTCATTTTATTGTCTAATCTATTGCATATATTGGGAAACATGTCTTCATTTTATTTCCATTTTCTTTTGCATATCAGTAAACATGTCCACTTTTGAGATAGAAGGTTCAAGTGATTCAACACCATCTTCAAGTCCAGCTCCTATTTCCAACAGCTGTGAAGAATCTGGCCTTGGTGTTAAGAAAAAGAGAGGCGAGTACAAGAAAAGGTCACCAGCTTGGGATCATTTTCAGCCTCACTATGTCCAAGGTGTTCGTCATGGCATATGTAATTACTGTACGAAAATGATAGCTGCTGATCCGAAGTCTAATGGTACTAGTCCTCTCTTATCCCATGTTAAATCATGTGAAATGAATCCTACAAATAAGTCTAAGGGGCAAGGTACATTATGCTTGGGTGAGGTTGGTGGTCTTGGGGGGGATGTTAAGAGTGCACTTATTAGTTGGAAGTATGATGCTGATGCAATTAGAAAAAGCATTGCTTATATGTTGATTGTTGATGAATTGCCATTCAAACATGTAGAAGGTAAAGGATTTCAGCATGTCATGAGAACTGCTTGTCCTTCTTTTCAAATTCCTTCAAGGTGGACAATTACTAGAGATTGCTATCAACTTTATTTAGATGAAAAAATTAAGTTGAAGAATATGTTGAGGCGTAGAGCTGTTAGAGTTTGTCTTACCACTGATTGTTGGACATCTATCCAGCGAATAAATTAATGTGTTTGACAGCTCACTTTATTGACTGTGATTGGCAATTGAACAAAAGAATTTTAAATTTTTGTCCAATTAGTAGTCATAAAGGGACTGAAATTGGGAAGAGTATTGAGAAACGCTTATTAGAGTGGGGGATTGATGATATTTTCACAGTAATAGTTGACAATGCTGCTTCAAATGACACGATTGTGCAATATTTGGTTGGAAAATTGTAAAATTGGGGTAAATCTATATTAGGAGGAAAGTGGATTCATATAAGATGTGTAGCTCACATAATCAATTTGATTGTGAGTGATGGCCTAAAAAAATTTGGGGGGTCCGTTGATTCTATCCGAACAGCTGCGAGATACATTAGGCAATCACCTTCTCGTTTGAAAAAATTCAAGGAATGTGCTGAAATTGAAAAAATTGACAGTAAAAGGTTACTAAGTTTAGATGTGGCAACTAGGTGGAACTCAACCTACTTAATGTTAGACAGTGCTCATAGGTTTGAGAGGGCATTTGAGAGGTTTGAGGAGCAAGATCCATATATGCTGCATGAGCTAGAGCACTTGCCAACAAAAAGTGATTGGGAAAAGGCAAGATTCTTAACTTTATTTTTGGAGAACTTTTATGATCTCACAGTAAAGGTTTCTGGTTCCAAATATGTGACATCTAATAATCTTATCAATGAGCTTAGTCACATTAATGGCATCCTAAAGGAAATGGCAGAAAGTGCTAATCCTGACTTGTGTGGAATGGCAAAAATAATGAAAGAGAAGTATGATAAGTATTGGGGAAGATTGGAGAAAATGAACATGTTGATTTTCATTGCTTACATGCTTGATCCTAGGACAAAGTTTGAGTACTTTGAATTCGTTGCTTGTAAAATGTATGGTGATACCGAAGGTGCTGTTGTGGCTCATGTAGCCAAGGATGCAATGTATGAATTGTTTAATGATTACAAGAGACTCAATACTCCTGCTGGATCTTCTCAATCCTCTATTTCTTCACTTTCTAGTGGATCTGAAAATAGCATCTCTTCCTTTGATGGAGAAGTCTCCAAAAAAATAAATGATAGATACAGAATTGAGTTCAAGAAAAGAAAAGTTGAACTTGGAGGAAAGAATGCTAAATCTGAACTTGACAAATATTTGAGTGAGGATTGTGAGGGTGAGGATCCCGAGTTCGATATCTTGAATTGGTGGAAAGGTAATAGTCTTCGGTTGCCAATACTTTCGCAAATGGCTCGTGATGTGTTGGCTGTCCCGGTCTCTACGGTTGCTTCCGAATCTGCCTTTAGTACCGGAGGACGTGTTCTTGACCCATTCAGAAGCTCTTTAACTCCAAGGATTGTGCAAGCCTTGATTTGTGCTCAAGACTGGTTTCGGGCATCCGAAAATGAGTTGAATGTAGAAGAAAAATTGGAGGATCTTGAGGAATTTGAATCTGGTAAATTATCTTCTTTTTTATTGACAAACTTGAAATATTTTTTCTATTCATAAATGCAATTAAGCTACTTCATTATTTTTTTCTTTCTTGAATAATAGGTTTGATCAAAGGAGGTACAGAAGCCACAATTGTTGATGTTTGAATTCTCTAATGGTGATTCTGATTTGGTGCTCATAGAAATTCAAGTTTGAAATGTTGTCAAACTGAAATGTTGTCTTATTTGTTTGAAAGGCACTTTGGTTACATTTGTATAACAGTATAAGTATTCTCGTATGAAAGACTGGAATTGTTTGATAATAGTTGATTTGTATTATTTACTGGAATTGTTTTGTATTTGAAATTTGGACTGGAATGATTGTATAAGTATTCTCGTATGAAGTGGTAGAGTTCTTGTGATTTATGGTATTGAATAGGCACTCTGGAATGTGGAGTTGAATGTGGAATTGTTATTCAGCTTCATCCTTTCCTCTTGAATTTGAGACAGCTGACCTGTGGAATGTGGAATCCAAGGGGACTGCATTTACTTTGAACAGATTTTCTGTTTTTGATTTGTTATTATCCTTATGACTGTTTCATTGTGGGTCTTGAACGAATTTCATTTCATTCCAAGTCACAAAATTGAAACTTTAATTTGATTGAAGAACTTTTTTGGTAGATGGTCTGTTGTTTCCTTGATTTGTGGTTTATAGTATCTACAAATGCTTTGAGTTGCTTTGTTCAAAGCATATCCTAAGCTTTATTTGGCTTTTTGATTGTTTGGCCTATTTTTAAGTTGATTAGTCGTGGAATATGTGCTGAAGGTGTTCTATGACTTTATTCTGGTTAACAACCTGTTTTGGTTTGGAGGAGTTCGGCTTTCAAAACTCCTATTAAATAGAGGCGAAATTAAGTTTCTTGCAAGAAAGGAGAGCGCAAAAAAAAAAATAAATAAAATCGATGAATTCGGAATTTACCGAATTCCGAATTCAATTCGGTATCGAATTCGAATTCGGAATTAGCCATTTCGAAATCGAATTCGGTCGGTGAAATTGAAGCCAAATTTCCGAAAAATTCCGAATTCAAACATCCGAATTACCGAATTCGAATTCGATGCACACCCCTAGAGATATGGATTGGAGAGTGTGAGTTATCGATTGATCTGATAAACATAACCATTAAGGGAATGATATTGTCCTAGGTGTGAATTTTGAGGACGAAATTCTTTTTAAGGAGGGAAGGATGTGAGGACCCGAATTTTTCCTTACTTTTAATTCTATTTTTTTGGCTTATCTAATTATTTATTCACTCGTTTTCTCCGAATAATTTATTTCAACCATTTTAAAACCATTTACATGGAATACTGTCCCACTTATATTTTAAAACGTCCCGTTAGCAAATTTAATTTTTCGGAGGCTCGTTTATTAAGAAATAGTGAATACATGTTTTTCGAGACAATATTTGAAATGAGAGTGCAATAATCCTAACGAATTAAGAATGAGTAATAGTAGACTAAGAAAAATTAATTGATGGATTACAGGTGAGTGAGTTAAAAATTTAAACTTATACCGCGAGTGCGTCAAAAGTTTCCCGAAAGTCACGCCTGTACAAACTAATTGGAGATTTGAGAAATTAATACTTGTGAGAACTCATGTTTTATTTCAAAAATAGTTATTTTTAGGATTATTTACCCTAGTATTAGTGAGTTATATTATCGTTACAAGAATTTCTTTTGAGTTTCGCTTTATCGCGCGCGAATCGGAAGTTCGCGTATTTCGCGTCAAAACAGTTAAGTGGAGATTTAAGAAACTAATACTAGACTACTAAGAGTGAATAATTATAATGTTAAAGGAAGTACATTAGAGATTTAGTGCACAAGTGAAACAAACCCGAGAGAAAACGGATACGAAACGCGCCCGCGCGAGTACTATTCATAGTTGATTTTTGCACAAAATTTTAACCACAAAACACTTAAGCTTCCAAGGGAAGCTTCATTCATCAGACACACTCTCTCTCCTCACCTCCATAGCTGACCAAACCTGTGAGAACCCGTAATTTTCCCATTTTCTAGGTTTTATTATATTCAATGGCATGTTTTTCTGCATTTTCTTTATTAGGAAAATTTCTAGATAATTGTTATGAGTAAATATAGTTTTTAGGTGATTTTTCTAGTATCGGTTAGTTTTTAAGAAATTAAGAGTGTATACCGGATGTGGGACCCGCTAGTGCAAAAAGTTCGGAAAAATTCGGCCAATTAGGTTAAGTTTTGGATACTGGGTTTAATTTACCGAATGCTAAGAGATAATTAGAGGTTACCAAGTGGATTGGTGTGAGAGAAAACAAAGTGATATGCATGCATTAAATAGGGTGACAAGTGTCACCATATGATTAAATCTTGCATTTTGACTACTATTCACCTTTTTACCAATTGACCAAATAAACCAAAAAATTACCAAAATCATCTTCATTTCAAGCTTAGTGTAGCCGGCTCTCTCTCCAAACAAAAGAAAGGAAAAGCTCTTCAAGTTCATGCTTCAATCTTGCTCAAATACAACAAATCAACCATTTACTCTTGTATTGTCTCCATAAAACTCCTTAAGTGAGTGGTTGTGAGGTGATTAGTGGAGTGGTTTGGAGGATTAAGGTCCCAAGTTGTTCCTTTTCTTGCATTTCAAGGTGAGTAGCTAGGGAATGCTTCCTTTGGTCTTGATAATGTCAAAGTAATGATTTGTGTTGATTAAATGTGTGATTGGGTGAAAGATTTCTTGAATTGGGTTGAGATTGGTGAATTTTTCTGATTATTTCATGAATTTTCTGTTTCATATGTGTAATATGGTGTGGCTTTGTATGATGATGGAAATTGATCTAGAATGAAGCTAGAAGGTGTAAATTGTGGTTAATTGCAAGAAATTTCTGTTTTGGAAGGAAATTGTGAAAGTTAGGGTTTCATTCCCCCTCATTCTGCCTGGCACTATTCATCATAGTTAGAGGCCAAATTAGCCTTAGGTTAAAACATGAAAGTTGTAGGGAATGATATTTTAGAGATTCTTACAAAATTTCAGGTCAATCGGAGTAGCGTACCTTATGAAAAGACTGAAATACCCCTGCTGCCCTGTTTCTACCCGAACTTGGTAATCAGCTTTGGTAATTGGTTAATTTGATTGGGAATGCTTCTGATTTGGTTATTGATGCCTTCTGAATCAATGTAGACTGGTGTCTTAGCTTTCGGATGGCTTTGGAATCACTTGATTTGGATTTCGGTAGCCTGACTTATGATGTTTGAACCAGAATGCGGTTTGCTAACCTGTTTTTGCGGTTCTGGTTGAGTATATTGAATTTTTGACCTGGTTTCACTAGAAACTGGACTGAGTAGCCTTCTTCAACATTGTAGCCCTACCTCTTAGCTTCGAAACGGTGTATATTTCATCTCCATCTGATAATCGTAGTGCCAATGGTGCCAAAACCACAAAATGATGTCAAAAACTATTTTTATGGTTTAGAGCTTAATTCCATTTCCGGATTTCCCTGGTTTACTCTAGTGCTTATACATTCTTATGGAGCCCTATTTTGGTGGTATTTGGAATTGGTTTATGACCTGTAATCGAGTCTTATTGTGCTTATTTGAATGTTTTAGGACGTGACGGTGGTCCAAGACGCTCTTTGGGCGGAGGTTTATGAAATATCATTTGCTTGCTTGGTGAGTATACTACTCACTTGTTTGTTTACAATGTGGCTTTATTATATTGAACTTGATGCCTTGAAGGCTTATTTGCACTGTTGAAACTGATTAAAGTGAGGGTGTACTTGATCGCCCTCACCCCCTTTTTGTATTATACACGACTGTCTACTGTTTCACTGTGGTACTTGAAATGTACATGGAAAACTGGATTTGGTGTCCTTTGGACGAGGATCCAACGGCTTTTACTGTTACTACTGAGCTCAACCCCATTGGTAGTCGATTGAATCGAGCCAGCGAGGGCTTGGTCGTGAAAGTTGACGAGCTATGAGGACTGTTATATGGAATCTTGTAGTAGTGAGACTCTTGATTCCGGTATACTCGAGTATTACCAAATTTCTACTGTTTGGAGTTCGGGCCCGGTAGGGGTATGTTGGGTGGAAGGAATGGAAGTAAATGGAGCCTACGGTTGGTTACTCTTAAACATTGATGGAGGGTCAATGAGGTCCGATCAAGAATGCAAGCGAGGAAAGGGGCTCTTGAGAGCCGCCCATATCCTTTTATCAACACTATTGATGTGTGCCTTTGCTTACTTTTGATGTATTGGAATGAGAAGCTTGATACTTGCTTATATGAACTTTGCTGTTTGAGTGATAGTATATCACTGGGCGTAAGCTCACTCTGTTCCTTTTGTTTTCCTTACAGGAATATAAACACTTTTGGAAAGTCCATGAATATTGGTTGCCGAGTTGTGCTTATGTGAATAAAATTTTGAATAGCTCCTTTTGAGCAAACTCTAAGTGCATTTTGGATCCAACCAAAACTGTTGAGTTGTAATTTGCAAACCGTACTTGTATAAACTTGTTGGACAACTTGGGTATGTCTTTTGGTATGTAAATGCTAAATTTCAATATCTATATGTGTGATTGATGCTTGGTTGGATTTTGACGTGTCGGTTACTATTCATGGCCGACTCCATTTTCATTTTTTTTATTTTGTAATTTTGACTTGCCTAAGCGCGCTTGTATGTTGCGGAACTTTTAAATCGTATTGAATTGTCCCGTTAGTCCTGGCGAGAGTTGGGCAGGCAGTCCGCTAACCCCTTTGGTTCGCCTTAGGGGAAGGTGGGGCTGTCACAAAACCAGCCAAGGAAGAAGAAGAGAAAGCTCTTCATCATTCTTGCTCCATTCTTGCACAATTTCACTCCAAAATCTTCACTCAACTTCCATATCACTTAGAGATTAGTTTAAGCTTGGTGGAAGACTTTATCTTGGTGGTTTTCTTGGAGCTTTTGTGATCAAAATTTCTGGTTCTTCAAGGGTTCAAGAGGTATACACCTCAACTCATCCAATCTTTTATTTCTTGGCTTTAATGAGTTTCATTCTTGGCTTGAAACTTGTAGCTTCCTTGTTGTTGTTGTTATTTGGATTGGATTGGTTAAAGTGGGCTCTATGAACTCCCACCTTGGTTATATAAAGACTGCCGTGATG